AGTGGCTAAGTATGGCATGTTGTTTCATAGGTTGCAACACCTGGTCGTCTTTGGGATCATATGTCTGACACAAAAGGCTTTTCTCTGAAATCATTGAAATATCTGGTAAATCTATGCTTATATTTTGTTGGTCTTTTTCGTTTTGGTGAAGTCTGTTCTTATCATTTTTGTATTTACTTCACATTATTCAACAGGTTCTTGATGAAGCAGATAGACTGCTGAATGAAGATTTTGAGAAATCTCTTAACCAGATTTTGGAAGAGATCCCTCGTGAACGTAAAACATTTCTTTTTTCAGCAACTATGACTAAAAAGGTAGGAACCTTACTTGAGAGTGTTGTGGTTTTGATCGATCAAACTGTCACTCTATAATCTTTTGGAGTGGAAGATTGACAAGGAACAGCAGGCTAAAGTCACTGAATTTGTTTTGGCCTTTTAGGTTCGAAAACTTCAAAGGGCATGTTTGAGGAATCCTGTGAAGGTATGGAGACACACCAAATGACTGGAATTATTTCTTGTCACAGCTATCATAGTTTGAGGTTATAACAGTTGTAAATTTGTTACTTTCCTCCAGATTGAAGCTGCCTCCAAATATTCCACAGTCGATACTCTTAAGCAGCAGTATCGGTTTGTTGCCGCTAAATACAAGGTACATTATTTACATCACAGAGTATATAGATAGTAGCAAACACACAAGAGAGTTTCATCTTTTTTGACTATAATGGCCCTTTTTATCACTGTAACAGGATTGCTATCTGGTATACATTCTGAGTGAAATGCCTGAATCAACATCAATGATTTTCACCCGAACATGTGATGGTACTCGCTTCCTGGCTTTGGTGCTTCGGAGCCTTGGTTTTAGAGCCATTCCTATCAGTGGTCAAATGACACAGGTAAATGATACGCTCCTTTTTCTAAACATTTCTCGACCTTTTCTCTCAAAATTTTCTCATGCTCTTTGAAATGTTCACAGTCAAAGAGACTGGGAGCTTTGAATAAGTTCAAAGCAGGGGAATGTAATATCTTGGTTTGTACCGATGTGGCTAGTAGAGGGCTCGATATCCCATCGGTTGATGTGGTTATCAATTATGACATTCCCACAAATTCAAAGGTTAGAGCTTTTCTTTCTTCAGATGAATGAGTTTTTTTCTTTCTTGTTTCTCATGAATCCATGATCTTGAGAACCTGCATTGATTTTCCAAATTTGGCTCATAGGATTACATCCACAGAGTAGGAAGAACCGCTCGTGCTGGACGTTCAGGTGTCGGGATATCACTTGTAAACCAGTATGAGCTCGAGTGGTATATACAAATAGAAAAACTCATTGGTAAGTAAAAAAACTATTGGATACATTTTTATTGTTTTATCCTAGCATGGGAGACAGACATTTGACTATTTTTCGACATTCAGGCAAGAAACTACCTGAATATCCAGCTGAGGAAGATGAAGTCTTGTCATTGTTGGAGAGAGTTGCAGAAGCGAAAAAGTTATCTGCAATGGTATATTTACTCTGCACTTGTAGTTCTACCTGTGAAAAGGTTTAATTGTTTTTACTTATAACTTTGATTTATCCCGAATTGAATTATGTTTTCTGGCAATATTTGTTATAGAATATGAAAGAATCAGGAGGTAGGAAGAGAAGGGGAGAAGATGATGAAGAGAGTGAGAGGTTCTTGGGAGGTAACAAGGACAGAGGCAACAAGGACAGAGGTAACAAAGACAAGAAGTCTTCTAAGAAGTTCAAACGATAAAATGGCTCTGTTTTTATTGTTTTCGGATAACTCTCCAAAGTTTTGAATTGAAGTTTTCCATATGAACTAGGGAAATTTAATCTATTTTGTACTCGTAATTTGTATTTTTCTATTTGCTTTGTTTCTCAAAGACAGAGATTATGCTATTGAAGTTGATGTTTAAAAGCTCTGGTGTCTGTTCTTGGTGGCTCTTGCAGCTCTTTGTTTTATCTCTAATTTGCAGAAATCTGGCTAAAATGGTTTCGGGTTATATGGTTTCCGGTTCCCTAATGCCTTCAACGAATCAGATAATGTTCACTTCTGCTCACTTTTAAGTACCAAACTAAGAAGTAAGAACATCTTTGCATAAAGAACACAACTTTATAATGGATTCCTTATGAAATTGAATGTTTATGAAGAAGAGTACACATAACCCAAAGAAAAACAAAAACGGGGAAAAAATGCAAGAATATTGGAAAACTAAACCGACAAAAAAAGCCAATACCACATCAACTCAACGCAAGTAGTAGGCAAAAAGAAAGATGCAAAACAAAAATTAAAAACTACTCTCTTGTAGCGGCACCGTTAAAAGCAAAGTCAAGATGAACCACCACCGCGAGACCCACCACGACCTCCTTCTCCACGGCCTCCTCTTCCACCTCCTCCGTTTTGAGGAACTCTTTGGTAACCTTCTCCTCCATTTCGTGGGTTTGAGCTCTTTGGTCTACCAGAAAACTCACCTCCTCCTCTTCCATAGCCTCCTCTTCCTCCACCACCGCGTCCTCCTTTGAAGCTTTCATTTCGGAAACTTCCTCTTCCGGAAAAGTACCTTCCCCTACTACCTCCATTGTTGCCTCCTCCTGCGAAAAAGATTAACCACATCTTTTCAATACACAAAAACTCTTCACTAACCAGCTTTTTCTTGATGAGGTCTCTCATGTTTATTACCTCGACTATTTGTTTTCTTCTCCTCTACAACAGCTTGACGATCTCCGATTGTAACTGGTGAGGCCTACATGTACCAACCCAAAGAGTCAGACTTTCTGAATCAACCGAAACATATACCAGACACCTGAGCTCGAAAAGACTTGGGATTAAACGCGGAGTAGCAAGGCTTTGGTTTACCTCAAGCGCACTCTGCTTTCCGCTAGATGTTTCAAATTCCACAAAACCAAAACAGAAACCTTGCTGCTGAGAGTCACAAACCGTGTAAGGAACCAATAAGCAAGGGGTTTTGGAGGAGATTGTAGATTTATATATCAAACCTTATTGCTTCTGACTTGAATCCCCTCATGCTTGATTGCACCAAAGTTCTTGAACACCTCTTCAAGTTGTGTTGGTGTGGAGTCAAACGGCAAATTTCTTACATAAATCGAATGACCATCATCTGTAATAACAAATACACAAAAAAGTAACAAAATCAATAACCAAGGGAATGCGCGTATTCAAACAGCGAAATGAAAAGAATTTAAGGACCTTCCACATCAACATGGCTACTATTTGGAACATTCTCATGAGCTGACGCCTCGGGTCCTGCTGCGGGCTTAGCAGGAGGAGCGGTTGGCTTATGGTTGACTGGAGCTGGTCTTGGCTTGTTCGGAGCAACGTGTGTTGGTGCTGGACTGCTTTTCATCTGCTTGAGCTATTGAAACACACAAAAGATTTCATAAGGTTTACGAAACAACGTAATAACAATCTTGAGAAACAACAAGAGAATTAAGTTGGTAGGCGGTTTCTACTCACAATTGAAGCATAAGAATGCTTAGGAGCATCTCCTTGAGACACTGATAAAATTTCATTATGACTTATTTGATTAGGAGGTTCGATAGGCTCAACGTCAACAACAACTCCTTCATCTTTATCAGAAGGATCATACACTTCCGCCACATTGTCAAGATCTTCTTCCTCGATAGAAGCAACTGGCTCGGGTTCTACCTCGAGCTCGTTAGTAACAATAACACGTTCTGACAAGAAGTAAGCGTATGTTATATTCTAACCTGAAGTAATGGAGTGCTATGTATGCGCTAGGAAACAAAAAAATCGTACCGGGTTCCACGGGAGCCTGAACATCCCTGGGGTTTCCATTGATGGGGACAGAGCGGGCTTGTGCCGTCACCTCTTTCTCCTCAAGGGATCGAAACACGTCGTTTAAGACAAAGTATCCCTTGTCTTGTGGAGCCAAGAAAAAAGTTTGACTGAACTTCTTCCTCACATTATCGTTCCCGGTTAAATGTCCTGTAACCAGCACAATAACACCTCTCTCATGAGACTCCTGAGCATCCGCAGTTTCTATCTCAGCAGTGTACTCTTCATATTTCAAGGACAGAATCTTATCGTTGATCGCCTGAAAACCAAAGCGAAACCAAGTTAATATAACTCAAAAGAGAACAACAAGAGCAATGTTAAAGTAATTGACTTAATAATCTCACTTGCATAGTTGTGACAGTAGTCACAGCACCGGTAACATCAGGTCGGGTTAACAAGCTCGAATCTTGATAAAACCGATGAACTAAACCGGGAGATTGGTGAAGAATATGATAGTATTGCTCCACAAAGGCACGACCAACAACCTCAGCACCAGGGGAAGGACTAGCTTCCTGCTGTGCCATCTACACTCAACATATATATAGAGTGAGAATCAAAATTAACATAGCTCAAGTTTAACATTATCAATAATCAAACACTGTGTCATTATCTTTGAAGTAAATCGTTTTGATCAATAACCTAAAGACTGATTTGATTTCGCAAAACTCAGATAAAATAAAAGTCAACGATCTAATAGAAAGTCTAAGATTTCACTGTTCTGAATGAAATGAAGCTCACACACACACAAAACAAAAACCCTAAAATTAATAGAAGATCACAACACTTATTACAAGAACAACACTAATTTAGAAACGGAGCAATAACAAATAAAGAAATTTCGGAAATGTTTGTCAATAAATGAATCGAGAAGAAAAGTATATATTAAAGAATGAGTCAGATCAAGCTCGATATAGAAAGAAAAAAAGAGATCAAGATTGGAGCAAATCAAGAAAGAGTAAAAGAAACAGATCGAATTAGGAAAGAAGTGAAGTTGTGTACTTACAGTGATCTGAGGGAGAGAAGGACAAAGGGAGATCTGCTGCAGAAGCTAAGAAACAGAGGAGAGGACGAGAGAGACAGCGACAGACGGAGAAAGAGAGAGAGTGAGAGAAGGAACCAAAGTACCAAAGTTTAGTTCAGTTCAGTTCGGTTCGGCCCAAGAAGACTCAAACTTTGGGCTTTCTCATTCTAGGACGGTCTTCTTTTTGTTTTTAGAAAAAGTTGGGTCTTTCTTGTTCATTATTAGAAACTTACTAAAATAAGATTTACTTGCAAGTGATCTTGAGAATGGTTTTGGGTTGTATATAAAGTTATAAAACGTTCACAGATTTTGTTACTACGACACATATAAAAGATTTATGAAAACAATTTCAAGTTCTGAAACATTGCAAGATTAAATTAATAATGGACCCCATGTTTGAAGGTGTTGTTATTCATTTGAATTGAAGGATGACTAAACATTGAACACAACTACGACTTCTCTAATGTTATTATTGTATCATCGTTTTTTTTTTTGGAGTATAATATTTAGAGTAAGCTAAAATTTTAAGAAATAAGTTGAAAAGAAAAAATCATTTATCTTTTCAAAAATAAATTGAAATTCTATTTTGGAGTAGGAGGAGTTGCACCGACAATTCTTGAACATTGTTCCTTTAGCATCGGAGGAAAAAACGGAATGAATAGAATTTTCGGCATACAATTTGCTTCAGCGTCCAAAAATGCTTTGCAACAAGCCGGACCCAAGTTACGGAATTTTCCGGTGAATATGGATTGAGATATCTCTGCAATGCACCCTGGAATATCCATCACCGATGACAAACATTTTGTTATGTCAGGTAATCCTGGCATCCCAGGAATCGGTTGGAATGGAAATGGAAAAGGAAATGGAGCCAGAAACTGTGGCAACTGAGCATTTGCAGAAACTATGATGTATAGAACCGCTATGAGTGAAATGACATTTTTAATAGACATAATGAGAAATTGAGTAAAAAGAGTCTTAGTATAGCCAAATATATGCTTAATGCTCTGTTTGTTTCTGATTGATGAACAACAATAAGATCCTTGCTTATTTATATGGAATGAAATGTGAAACTGTTGTATTAATTATCTTGATTTAACGTCTTTGAATTCTTTCATTACTATTAGGTCTTTGATTAGCTGTTTTATAAATTTAAAAACATTAACTAAGAAATATTAACTACATAGAGGAAATATAAGTATAACCGGCCCCCATAATTAATCAGTCACCGGTATATATCTCCAAATTTAAACCAATAAATCAATTTATAGGTTTTTTTATATAATAAAATTGAATCGATCTTAAGGTTTGGTTTCTGAAAGTTCCATACACAGGGGTTATTTCCATGACTTGTCGTAGGATTTCCCTGGGTGAGGTTTTTGTGCCCATATGTTCTGAAATTATTCGAGGATTAGCTTTAGCTGTTAGCATTAATATTATGTGAACCTGAAGCTGGACTGTGAACAATCTTAAAGCCATTCGGGTTTTCTGTTGATATCACTAGACTCTGGGAAGTATATTTACTTTAGTATCTACATTTCTTGTTTTGTCTCTTTCTATGATAAGAGACCACAATAGCTTTTACAATTCAGTTTGTTAGAACGGATACTTCTTCGTGTCCTTGTTCGCCACCGAAATTGTAAATGGTTTTAGAGTTTGAGATTAGGCTTATAAAGTTATGATCAACTTCAGCCCAGCCTACCGGTTAAACCCAAGTCAGTTAATTTACTATTCACATAAAAACCAAAAAAAATTGATGGCAGCTTTAGTTATGGCTAGGTGTCGTTTCAAAATGTTTTTTTTTTCTTTTTCTTTTGTGGTACTTCACACTTTTGATTTGAAACCAAATTTTAGTTTTTTCCTTTTTTTCAAAATTTTAGTTATGATAAAACTTCCGTACTGCAACTTAGTTATGTAGTCGTGCTGCATTGTATATTACAATTCTTAAAAACTGAAAATAACTAGTAAACATTGAGTTCAAGATTGTTGTAGTGTTATTATTATATCATTGCATATAATATCAAAAAATGAAACATAATTCAACTAAAAAAACAAAAGCTAACATCAATATATTAAGAATTTCATTTTGGGGTAGGAGGAATAGCGCCAACAACTTTTGAGCATTGTTCTTTTAACATAGGAGGGAAAAACGGATTGAATGGAAGTTTTGGCATGCAATTGGCTTCGGCGTCCAAAAATGATTTGCAGCAAGCGGGACCTAGATTACCGAACTTTCCAGTAAGAATCGATTGAGAAATTTCTGCAACGCATTCTGGAATATTCATTACTGTTGACCAACATTTTGTAATATCGGGTAATCCTGGCATACCGGGATTCGGTTGGAATGGAAATGGAAAAGAAAATTGTGGTAGTTGAGCATTTACGGAGACCAAAACGCATGTAACCGCTACGAGAAAAAACACGTTTTTGATAGCCATGATGTGAACAAAAGAAAAAGAAGTTTCAGAGTTTGTTTTTTTTTTCTTTCGGGTTTGTTTTTAATGATGATCAATACTAAGATCTTTGGCTATTTTTATATGGGAAGGGATGAGCTATGGTATTAATTGTCGTATCGAAACGTCTTCGAAATTTTATTCCGTATTTAATTAGCAGTTTCGTTCTATGAGTCTGATTTAATTAGCAGTTTCTTAAATTGAAATAGAGTCCAATCTCCTCTATTCCAAATTAATGGGACGATCAACTTTGATTAGAAAATATTGACTATTTGACTAATTGAGAGGAGATGAATTATATAACCGGTAGGAATTAACCAAACCGGAATAGCTCAGAATTAACCGGTTGATTATTAATCCTTCGGTTTGATTTGAATTTATTCATTACTCTTAAGTCTTAACTCGTTAACGAAAAGGGCTCTCTTGCACCCGGAGACAATGTCAACTACCATCCCGGAGAGATAACGCCGCCGATTGAAACGCACGCTTTGAAGAACAAAAATGTAGTTCTGTTCACTCGAAAAAGCGTAGAAGAGTTCCAAGAGGATGAGAACGCGTGTGACGGAGAGTCGTAAGAGTAAAGGATTATTAAAAAATTGTGTTAAGGTGACAATATGTTGCAGGTTCGTACTTATTTTTTTCTTCATTTTCTCTACTAATGGATCAGTATTTGTGTTGCACATATATAGCCTACTTTGGTAGGGGAACTACTTCGTAATCAGTACACTATGTTTAGGTTTGTTTAGTCAGTCGAATTTGGATCTATGTGAGAATTTAGTTCTATGTTTAGTTTTGTTTTGTTATCCAATGGGTTGCTAAATTATTATTTCAGGTCAATCAAGACAATCATCTTATTTTTATTGATCCATAAACCCTAAATTTCCTACGTACTTTCCCTTTACTGTGCTAAATATTTTTACATATACATATAGAACTAAGAGATAAAACTTGTGAATAGAAGATTAATTTCGAGATAGCTGACTCTGAGTCTTTCTGACTAGCTTTTTTATTTATCTCCTTCTCTCTGAGTTCTTGACACACTAAAGTAAATTATTAAAAATGCTAATAGAAATTTATATATGAACTCACATGTTCTTTTTTTTTTTTTTTTTATCATCTCTCATACTAAAAGCCAGTCTCAGCCATTATACTGCATAAATGTTTCACAGCATTTGTTAAAGTTCAATGCATTGAGTACAGTTTTGAGTCATGGGATTGCTTTATTTTTCTAGGTCCAAGCTTGAAAAAAAAACCATTATGTGCAATAATAAGTTATTTGTCAATTGTCTCCTTTGCTTATTGCTCCCCCAGACATTAAAGGCACTTCACTACTCTACAGTAACTTTCTTACTGGATTTTCTCGTCCTTTGCAGGTTCATATCTTCCCCTTTGTCTCCTCTCAATCCCTCGAGGCTATTTGGCTTACCAACAAAGAAAGGAATCTAAATGAATACTATTACAAAACAAAATTCAACAAACAGAGTCAATTTGTCTAACGTTATGGGTACTTCCTTGACTTCCATATCCAATATTTATCCATAAAAGCCAATAAATGTCTTGGCATCTAAAACCCTATATTATACATTTTTGTCTTATATGAACCCGTGAATTATTAATATTATTATATATTTTTTCCCAAATATGAAGAGATCGATAGAGAGTTGGTTTTGATATTGTAACAGTAAAAACACAGAGAGAAACGAGTAGTTTCAGTGCAGCAAACTCTGGAGACACACTTTACTACGTCAATAATACAAAAAGGAGAAGCAGTTATATATGTATGTCATAATGTCAGCATCAGCATGTATATACATATAATTTATGGGTGTGTGTGTATTTAATTTATGTGGTTAAATAATTTACTTTTTGGTGGGTTTTACTCCTTTTGGTGTTGTCTCTTACAAGGACATGTCGTTGTCTGTCTCAGCATGAGCCTTCTGCATTTACTGACGTTCAGACCCGAAAACGACGGCTCAGTACCAAAAGACAAGAAAAGAAAAGAAGACGTTCTTAGGCTATCGTGTATAGTGTTCACTGTAGATAATGAACGACACCGTTTTCAGTCTTTTGTTTCGATTCCCTTGTAGTTGAAATTAATAAAAGAGAGCTAGATGTGGATGTTATGATTCGTTGATATCACATAACACGCAAGTATGCAAATTTGGATATTTTTGATCATTTGTTAGAATTCTGGTATGAAGTCCAATTTGTACACGTTCTGATGGCGATTGCTTAAGACCAATCAACTTGTCCTCTTCTTCTTTTTTTTTGTGGAAAATTACACAGTTCCATCATTTTCGTTTTGATAATACCTTATTATTGAAATTCTGTTGTTTACAGTGTTCATATTAGATCACACAATTCAGTAAATTGGCGCAAAAAAAATTAGGAGGAGGACTGGAGGAGTTAGTTAGCTATTTTTTTTTTAGATTTTTTGTTCAACCTTGATAAAAGTATGAATGAATTTATACTAAGAAACAAAGATGCTTTAATTGACCTAAAATGTCTTTGATGGTTAAAGATTTAAAGAAAACAACATGTTGTGAGTTTTGGATGCAAGAAACTGTGTTCCCACATCAAAAGACAAAAATACGTACCAATTTGTTTATTCCTACCAAATTTTCATTTGCAACCATGAGAAAATTAATTTTTTATTAATGGGTGATATGATGCTAATTAGTACTCTATCCGTTTCGAATTACACGTCGTTTAAGGTTTTATGTACAAATTAAAAAAAAACAATTAAATTTTATGTTTTATCTCTTATTAATATATTCTATAAAAAAATTTATTAGTCAAGAAAACAGTAGAAATAAAACTATAACTTTTACCAAATACCTGCATTAAAAATCTAAAACGATATCTATTACGAAATAAATTTTAAACTCTAAAACGAAAATTTAAATGAAATGGAGGGAGTATCATTTTTCTTCTGACATCTACAACATTTTTCTTACAAATCGTTAATATTCAATTTAAATTCCACTGTACGAGAATGAAATCCCTAAAACGTAATTTTTTTTTTGGTGAATATCCCTAAAACGTAATTATGTTGAAGAAAAGTACAGGCAGGCATGTAAACATTCTTAAAATTAGGACGTAATTAATATAAAGAGTAAGTTAGGGTTTATAGTGCCTAGATCTATCTAGTTTGAGATAATATGTCAAGAAAAACAACCTGGTTAATTATTATGAAAAAAAACTCATGGAGAACTTATTTGAACAGACTGTGTTTAAATTTGGCAGAGCTTTGAAATAATTCAGGCCAAAGTCAGAAGGGTCGTCGAACATATATGTATACAAACATACATTTGTAACGTATATGGTATATATTGTCTGTATAATTAAGGATCTTATATATGATCCAAATTAAAAGTCGGAGGAAATTAAGCCCAGAAGCTCAAGTCACATCATCATCACCATTCAAATTCATCCCTATATTCTCTACTTCTTCTTCGTTTGCAGGAACAACTTTTATACCCATAATTCGATGCAAAATCCTCTGTCTTACATCGCAAAAATTCCCTGCAATATGATATTTTAGATTATTTTTTTATTTTTTTATTTTTTTTGCAAAATATAGTTTACAGCTTATTTTAAAAAACTGGAATTTACGTAAATCAAGTTAAAGAAATAAAGGTTTTGGTTTTGAGAAACGTTACTAAACCAAGCAATGACTAAAGGCGGCTTTGTAGTGGGCTGCTTTAGACAACGGTAGGTTTGGCAAGCTTCTTGTTGTTGAGCCGAAAATTTTGTTGTGACAAATTTCACCAGTAGTTTTATGAACATAAATCATAATTAATATTGTTGCGACATATTCGAACAACGCCGAAGTTAGACCAATATACCACTGACACCATCTATATAAAAGTTATTACAAATCTATATATCACCGTACGTACCAAAAAAATTAAAATGTACAGTCTATCACTATAAATAATTTTTGTGTTGAAAAAATACCACCATATCAAGAAATATGCATGGAAGTGCCTTTCTAAGCACTTTCTTAAAACGAATTGTGATATGTTGGAAAACAAAACTAAATGTATAGTTTCTCTTATAATATTTATATAATTAAATTGTGTTTGGAGAATCAACCAACCGATGTAAAAAAAAAAAAAGAGAATTAATCCATGGAACCTTTGATTTGAGATGAACAATTACCAAAAATTATACGAATCAAATTAGTGCTTCATATTTTATTTATATTTTTTTGGATAGTTAAATTAGGACAAAAAAACTGAACCTATCTACAAATGGATATATTACATAATCAAAACCAAATTACAAATGGATATATACATAATCAAAACCAGAGTTCTTAATTTGGAACCGTACACTATGCAATAACACAATATTCATCGTAAACAACCAGTGGGCTAAAGGAGAGGTCAATTATAGAAGACTTTATAGTAGTGATATCAAGTTGGATACAAGGAGGAAAGAAAATGGTGTATGATTTGTGGGCAAAAATCTCAGTGGCAAAAACACTTAGAAGAGGAGTGGTCCACAAATCTCTTTGTGAGTATTTAAGCATTAGATGCTTTAAAGAAAAACCTATACTCGTTGGTCCATTCTCTATCTCAGAGACAGACTCTTACCTCCTCTAGCTGTCAATCTATATATTATATTTACTTACATATATACATATATATATATATATTTTTATATATCTTGTTGTTAACAAAAAAGTTTATATATATGGATATTTATATGCTTAAAACATAACCCACTAGTAGTTAATTAGAAATAAAAGCAGTATATTCCCAACAGTTTGATTTTAACAAGTCTACATTTCATTATCACTAAATTTAGGGTTTCAAAGTTGGTTCGTTAATAATTTAGTTCACCAATTTCTCTACAAATAAAACTTTCCATTTTCGAAACGACAGTCAAATGAAGCGAGCGACTGTATATAGATTTGTCTTTCCATTTATTATGAAACTTTTTGAATTTTTTCTAAATTTTTGTTTCATAAAATTTTCAAATTCTTGTATGTTCAAAGTTCAAACCACTTTTACCATTATTCTACATGTACTGTACATCTTTTCACTTTTAAAGCTCTTGTTAACATTTAGAACTATTAAATTTTAACAGTACGCTTTCTCTTAAATGACTTTAACCGTATGTTTATATTTTTGTTACCAACGAAATAAAGATAAGAAGACAACAGATCACAAACTTGGGTAGAAAATAAATTATATAAAAGTGAAAATGAATTTCTAAACTAAAACCAAGGAAAGGGAACCAAAACTTGAATACTAAAATATATTAAAATTTATTGTAAAAAAAATTATTGTAAAGTTTTTATTTTGGTCAACTATTGTAAAGTTCTTTTATATATAAATTTTCTGTGACTGTGAGTGTAACGAAACATGCTCATTCCCATCACAGTATCAATACACTACATAAATTGATCCTCTTTTGTCCTCTGCATAAATTCCTTTCATACCAAAAATAAACCCTAGGGATTGGAATATAATATTTAAATATATATTTAATTCATTTATTATTTAACTTCCCCAATCATATAATATACATATATAATTATAGTTTCCAAAAAAAGAAATACTTCACATTCCTCTGCCTCCTTATCTCTTCCTTACTCTTCCTCTTGTTCCTTCTTCTACTTCTCTATCAAGCTAGATCTTGAATTAGGACTCAAGCTTACCAGTCTTCAATCGACGTAAACAGTAAGAACATATAATCTTTAACATGTTTGATTTTCAAATTCTTATGAGCTTTCTTATCTTAAATGCAAAATCAAGAAAGAGATGATCAATCATATCAATTTTGCTTTGTTTCTATGTGAATTTTGCTCCAATTTTTTTTTTAAAAGCAAAAAATGTCATCACTTCACCTCAATTTCATTCCATTGAAAGCTATAATTCTTGTCTTCTTGATTTATTTTTCATTAAATTGGTCAATTTCTTTCCTTATTGTTTCAGATCTGTTCTTTATACCAAATTGAGTGAAGATCTTGTTGAGTGAATTAAAAGAGATGAGATCAAGAGAATGTGATGAAGAGGAGATACAAGCAAAGCAAGAAGGAGATCATAATCAAAATCATCAAGTAAACTTAAACCACATGTTGCAACAGCAACGACCGAGTTCGGTATCATCATCTTCAAGGCAATGGACTTCAGCTTTTAGGAATCCAAGAATCGTTCGAGTCTCAAGAACATTCGGTGGCAAAGACAGACATAGCAAAGTCTGTACGGTCCGTGGTCTTCGAGACCGGAGGATAAGGTTGTCCGTACCTACAGCTATTCAACTCTACGACCTTCAAGATCGATTAGGGCTGAGTCAGCCAAGCAAAGTCATCGATTGGTTACTCGAAGCAGCAAAAGATGACGTCGACAAGCTACCTCCTCTACAATTCCCACATGGGTTTAACCAAATGTATCCAAATCTCATCTTTGGAAACTCCGGGTTTGGAGAATCGCCATCTTCAGCTTCATCAACAGCGTTTCCAGGAACCAATCTCGGGTTCTTGGAAAATTGGGATCTTGGTGGTTCTTCAAGAACAAGATCAAGATTAACCGATACTACTACGACCCAGAGAGAAAGTTTTGATCTTGATAAAGGAAAATGGATCAAACACGACGAGAATAGTAATCAAGATCATCAAGGGTTCGACACCAATCATCAACATTTTCCACTGACCAATCCTTACAACAACACTTCATCTTATTACAACCTCGGACATCTTCAACAATCGTTAGACCAATCCGGTAATAACGTTACTGTCGCAATATCTAATGTTGCTGCTAATAACAACAATAATCTCAATTTGCCTCCTCCTTCCTCGTCTGCTGGAGATGGATCTCAGCTTTTTTTTGGTCCTACTCCTCCAGCAATGAGCTCTCTATTCCCGACATACCCTTCGTTTCTCGGAGCCTCTCATCATCATCATCATGTCGTCGATGGAGCCGGTCATCTTCAGCTCTTTAGCACGAATTCAAATACCGCCTCGCAGCAACAGTTGATCACGGGTAATACAAGTTTGATTAGACCATTTCATCATTTGATGAGCTCGAATCATGATACGGATCGTCATAGTAGCGATAATGAATCAGATTCGTGAAAGATTTTTATATCATCTACACTCAACATAAACATGTTATATGTATACGTATTCTTCAATATTTTGATATATATGACGTATTGTTGGATTGATTTATGTATCTTCTTCGTGTATGTATAGAAATTTTAATAATCTCGGATTTGGATTCGACCAAAGACATTCATCATGCCAGGATGGACGTTGTTATTTCTATATATTTTTGAGTTTGATTTAGCCTTTTAATTTGCTTCCTTTTTGAAATTAGATGATTTCTGCTTGAATGTCTCTCTATTCATTTATGAATTTATATACACTCAAATAAATGAATTGTACAATATAGGTATCCCATAACTATCTGGTACTTTCACCTTCATGTATGATTCTAGATTAGTAAATCATCTTTGTTAATTATATATTTCATAAGTAAGGATTTGGGTTTTAGAATCATGGAGAAAGTGAAAAAAAAAACGGAAAGAACAAATATATTGTTCAAAATAAAATGGAAGAGAAACCGAATTCAGACCAACAAAAAAAAACAAGAGTAATATGATGAGTTGGCCTAGTGGTTAAACCCCTTGGTTACCGATAATATAGAGACCTTGGAGGTCACGGGTTCGATTTACGTTGGGAGAGATCTGCTCTCCAAAAGAGAGTTATATTACATGGTTTGGGCCTCGCCCTGGGGAATGTACGGGGCCTACGGGCTCAGAACCTCCTAATCATAAAAAAAAAAACCCTAATTCAACTTTAAACAGTAAATCTAGGTCCATCGAAATCCATATATATGATATATATGCTGCCAACGTATGATCATATTCAAAGCATTTCACCATTTACTATTGGCATCACAATGTTACTAAAAAAACATTTTGTATTTTTTTTTTTTTGACAAAATATGATATGATCTATCTTAATCATCAATATGCAATGATTAAAAGTCAGGACATGAATATAATATCCTATCTACAAATTTTGATATTTATCGAAAACTGCGAATTTTCCAGTTTCTACCGCGATCTATTGCTATATATTCTTGTAGTATATATATGAATGTATATAGGAAAGTCATGTTGTGCACAGTTCAAATGAAAGAAATAGAAGGGGCCGGGTCGTTGCTTGTCATGTGTCAGAAAAAGACCAATAAGTTTCAAATAAGTTTATGTCCACAATCATTCATTTTCATATAACTACGTATATTTGTACAAGCATATTATGAATGTATTCACACGAACATAAATACATGCATATATATATATATAGATACGAATTTAGAAGTATATATAGGTTACTGTTCACAATGCCTAGATGCACGGCAATATGTAATGCATGCCAAACCCTAGCCTCGTGTGTATATATGCGTCACACCCACAATCATGTACATATATCATATGTATACACATGTGAGTAATGTTCTAAGTAAGAAAGTGATGGTTACCAAAAAAAATGTGAGCATGTGTGTGTATATATAATAATAGTATATGTAAATATGAAATAATGCAAATTAGTTGAAATAGCTAACGTTTTTTTTTAGCAAAAAATAGCTAACGTTTTCCTCATCTCCGTATTTGCTGACTTTTGATCAATTTCTCAAATATCAAAGTTCAAAAATAATCGCTGGTGGTCTTTAGTCGACACACGACTGATTTCAGTAAGAGAGCTAATAAATGTGATGGGATTATATTCATTAGTACATTCATTCACATCCACGTGTGTGAGGCGGGAGAGAGATTATATATAGATTTAGGTCGAAGTAATGCAGAGATGCATGTAAAAGAATGCTAAAATATGGTTAACATGCTTATCTATTTGGAAAAATTACAACGTTTTCGTTAGATACTTAATCATTATTCTTCTTAATTACATATTAATTTTATTTGTTTCAAAAGTTCTGTTTCTTCATACATATATATATTTTTAGAAAAAATTACAAATATTCACCCCTTACTTAATTATTTTGTGAATTAATAAGAAAATCATGAACCACACTTGACTTAAAACATAAGAAAGTCTAAATTAGTTACTTCATATTGATTCTTATAATTTTTTATTGGTTATTCTCTTTCTGATGCATGTACAATATGTACATTTAAGGCTTTTCATTCATGACGTACGTATATACTACGGCTTAGCTCAAACAAAATTTGCAACTTTTTTTACAAAATTGTACATTTTAAAAAACAAAAATGGTACTACAAAAATAATCCTTCACTTATTAATCTATTGGATCCTATGATTTCTACCACATATTATTGTGAAAAAGTAAAAAAAAAAATTTTTTTGTCAATAATATATGATTCACAAATCTATCCCCATACAACTCTAGGTGTACACTAAAGGAACGTTCTCTGCTTCTCTATATATATATAGGTCTTTATTTATCAGTCGAACTTCCTTATAACCTTGAGCTTGTGGTCATAATACCACCAAAATCAAATAAATAAAGAAAAAATATGTAAAGAAAAAAAGAAGAATTAAGTAGGATGATGGTGAGTATTGGGATTGGAGGGTCAGGGAAGGAAAGGGAAAGAAGAGAAGCAGTTAAGACAGCAACTGAATTGCAGTCAAGCACTGATCCCTATCTTCCAATATTACTCATATCTCTCTCTCTTTCTTTTTCAATAACTCTCTCTCTCTCTCTCCTCTTCTCCAAGTTGTAGGGTCATTAACCTTCCATTGGTAAATTATAGGTTTTGAAAACATAACTTATTTTCCTTTTGGGTGGTCCTTTTGATCTTTTCTAAATCATGTGTTTAGATATAGATGGGCACACACTTGTCAAGAAAATTCAAAGATTTGCCATTAGTTTTTTTTTTTTTTTTTCTTTTTAACCAAGATTCTATTAAATTCATTCATACACCACATCTCTTCTTATAGTTGAAATTTATAATATTTTCATACTTAAATAGGGCATTATTGCATTTATATCTCCTTTTAGTTTTACAAGGATAATTAAATACTAGTAACATTTAGAGAATGAGATTTAAAAATAAATAAATAAATAAAAAACTTATAAAGGGCATATATGAAGTAAGTTATAATGATAAGCGGTTATCTTATCTTACACATGTATTGATTAGATTATATACATCGTAGTTAGATTAGATTATATATATCGTAGATTATATATTCTCAAGAGAATATGTACGTTTTTTTGAATCTTTTAGTGGCAAGAGATAATTTAGCTTAAATGGGATAATATATATGGTCCATATGATTATAAACTTCTTTTTCATCACCGGCATGCTTCAAAGTTAAGAGAGGAAGAAAGAAAAAAAAAAACAGGTCCACTTTATCTCATTTTCACATAATTCACTCACTTAGGCATGCAATTCTTTTGTTTTCTCCTTTCTCTTTTTCAATTCTCTTTTTATTTTCCCGCAGAGGTTATTATATATGGTACATTTTTTTAATCCTATTTTCTGTAGGTCACTATAAAAACTGTAGAAAATTTTCAGTGAAACCTTTTTTACCAATTCTATAATTTTTTTAAAAATTGTTCTGTCAATAACTCGACATGGAGATCTATCTGAACCTCTCATTTCTCAATATAGACTGTATGATATACAGTTCAGCTAGATTTTCACGGTTCGAAATAATTTTGTTTACTAATTATAGCTAGTTAACGGAGTTGTTGTAATTTCCATATAGTCTAGATGTATATGTTGTAATTTCCATCTGGCTAACCAAAATGATGACTACGTGAGATATAATGCGTAAGCGTGGAGGACCGGGACATAAGCGCACAAAGGGAACGAACTATTGGGCTTAAAAAAAAAAAAGAGAAGAAGGGCTCACGAATTATCTAAAGAAATCAAAATCAATATGAGCCCCCGGCGAGGATCGAACTCGCGGCCTTTCGCTTACGAAGCGAACGCAATACCACTATGCTACGGAGGCATCACAACCATGTGAAGGTATTTTCAAAATATAATTCGGTTAGTTATAGTATTCTCCATTATTTTTTAGCTACTACTGTTTGACAATAAGCTAAAAGCGTAAAGTGATGGGTTCTTCATGTACTGATGTACTGTACACATAATGTTATGAAGATAAAAGATTATGAAAAGAACCTTTGTCACTTCATCACTATAAAACTCACATGCAACCAAAGAAAATGATCAAGTCACACGAAGACACACAAATTATAAATAATTTTTGATTTTCGCAACGGAAGTCTGCAGGGAGATACGGTCTCATGAGTCATGATTGTTGCCTCATCTTTTTTTTTAAATATATTAACATTTTAGTTATTTTCTCCCATAGTGTGTTACCGCCTTACCGGCTACGAAATCAAAGACTTCAGAGTTCAGACGTATTAGAATGTGTGATTTCCATCATCGAGACATATTCTATTCACCATGTTTGCTGATTTGAATTTCAAATGTTCATAATTATAAATACATAATTTTCTAAAAAAGATTAACCTCGTAACTATTTATTTATATGTCTATGTTCATGCAAAGCGTGGATACTTTCAGTAAAATATCATATTATTAAACTGAAGAAAGATGAAACATTGAAAATTGAATGTTGTAGTGCTATTATTGTATTATTGTAGTTTTTGAGTACAACATTTATCGAATCAACCATATTTAAAATATAATATTTTTTTTTTTTAATGTTAAAAGACTCACATAATATTTTAAAATTCTATTTTGATGCGCCAACAACTTTTGAACAGTGTATCCTTATCAAAGAAGGAAAACTTGGCATGAATGAAATTTTTGGCAAACAGTTATCTTCAGTGTTTAAATATGCCTTGCAACAAGTATGACCGATGTTGCCCACTTGTAGAGCAGATATGGCTCGAGAAACTTCTATAACGCATATTGGAAATTTCATAAAAGATGAATAACATTTTGTTACATGAGAAAATCCTGGCATACCAGAAATCAACTGAAATGGATCAGAGAAAAAGACGAAAATTGTGGCAACTGAGCATTTACAGAAACTACGATGCATAGGACCATTAAAAGTGAAATCACATTTTTAATAGACATACTGATATATTGAGAAGAAACAAAGAAACAAAACCTTGTTAGTATAGCAAAATATATGTTTAGTGGTTGATTTTGTTTTTGATTGATGAACAACAATAAGATCTTTGCTTATTTAAATGGAAGGGAACGAAACTAGGGTATTAATTATCTTGATAAACGTCTTTGAATTCTTTTAATAAACACTTAATTAATTAGCAGTTTATAAATTTGAATAGAGTTGAAACTCCCAAGTGTGAAACGAGTAACATTTGAGTAAGAAATACAGTTATCGGCAATAATTCTATGAAGACTATGCATTAATTATAAAAAAAAAAAAAAAAAAAAAAAACTGCAAAATAAAAAGATGGAGGTGCGGGGAATCGAACCCCGTGCCTCTCGCATGCGAAGCGAGCGCTCTACCATATGAGCTACACCCCCGTTGGCGTTGGAGTATAAACGAAATAAATATATAATTATTTTAAATTAAATAATCAAAAGGGGCTTCAACAAATCAAGGCCCAAAAACGAAGCCCAATTATTACTCAGGATGTTCCTAAATCTTGAACTAGGGTTTTGTTCCATTTCCCTTTCTCTCACTCTCTAGTTACCAATTTTCTCTCACTAAATCAGAAATGCCGCCGTCGTTACCGTCTCTGCAACTCCGGCGGCTTCTCCTCCGTACCTTCATTTCTTCCTCCTCCTCCGTCAATACTCTTCAAGCTCAGTCCCGTCTCATTTCTTCCAAGCCTTCGTTTTCTCCTCTTCCGCCTTCCCGTTCCTCTACATTCTCAACATTTCCTTCTAGATTATTCTCATCTGAAACAAATGCGGAATCGGAAACTTTGGATTCGAATGAGATCGCTCTCTCTTTCTCGAAGGAGCTCACTGGGAATCCAGACGCCGAGTCTCACGCCATTTCTCAGAGATTCAATCTCAGCTTCTCCCACATCACGCCTAATCCCGATTTGATTCTCCAAACTCTAAATCTCTCACCGGAAGCTGGTCGCGCGGCTCTAGGCTTTAACGAGTGGTTGGATTCGAACTCTAACTTCTCTCACACCGATGAAACAGTTTCGTTTTTCGTCGATTACTTTGGTCGTCGGAAAGATTTCAAAGGGATGCTAGAGATCATCTCGAAATACAAAGGTATCGCCGGAGCTAAAACACTAGAATCGGCGATTGATAGGCTTGTTCGAGCTGATAGACCTAAGCAGGTCGCTGCTTTCTTCGAGAAAATGGAGAACGATTACGGATTGAAACGTGACAGAGATTCACTTACATTGGTTGTGAAGAAGCTATGTGAGAAAAGACACGCGAGTATCGCAGAGAAGATGGTGAAGAACACTGCTAATGATATATTTCCTGATGAAAATATTTGTGACTTGTTGATTAGTGGTTGGTGTACTGCTGAGAAACTCGATGAAGCAACTAGGTTAGCTGGTGAGATGTCTAGAGGAGGATTTGAGATAGGAACAAAAGCGTATAACATGATCCTTGATTGTGTTTGTAAGCTTTGTAGGAAGAAAGATCCGTTTAAGCTTCAACCTGAAGTAGAGAAGGTTTTGCTGGAAATGGAGTTCCGTGGTGTGCCCAGAAATACAGAGACTTTCAATGTGTTGATTAACAATCTTTGTAAAATCAGGAGAACCGAAGAAGCGATGACATTGTTTGCTAGGATGGGTGAATGGGGTTGTCAACCAGATGCTGAGACTTATCTTGTTCTGATCAGGAGTTTATATCAAGCAGCTAGGATAGGTGAAGGAGATGAAATGATCGATAAGATGAAATCAGCTGGATATGGTGAGTTTTTGAATAAGAAAGAGTATTACGGGTTTCTCAAGATATTGTGTGGGATTGAGAGGCTTGAGCATGCGATGAGTGTGTTCAAGAGCATGAAAGCTAATGGATGCAAACCTGGGATCAAGACTTATGATTTGTTGATGGGGAAAATGTGTGCGAATAATCAGCTAACTAGAGCTAATGGTTTGTACAAAGAAGCTGCTAAGAAAGGTATCGCTGTTAGCCCTAAGGAATACAGAGTTGATCCGCGGTTTTTGAAAAAGAAGACCAAGGAAGTGGATAGCAATGTGAAGAAGAGGGAGACTTTGCCTGAGAAAACTGCGAGGAAGAAGAAACGGCTCAAGCAGATCAATATGAGTTTTGTTAAGAAACCGCACAATAAGATGAGACGAAGAATGTGATGCTGATGATCTTCAACATCTGATAGAATTTTCTAAAGATTATGGTCTTTGTTCTTTCCCTTTTTAAAATTTTGTCAGGAATACTCATCTTTTTGCTTGATCATGAGCAAATTATCCCAATAATCTTTTGGTTTGTCTCAATGTAACGTTTACCCAGAGTTCAAGAATCGTGAGATAAAATTAGGTTTCTTGGTTATTTCAATGCTTCTCTTGTACATCCAAGTTGAGTTTAATTATAAGGGATCAACTAATCTTTGTTAATTGTGATTTATTGAAGTCAAAACAAGATCCCGTGGATAAAGGCATAACAAAGTGGTACAACTGTGCAAATGTGTAAAAGTCAAAGTCGTCGCCTTGATCTTTCTTCTTCTTACAAAGTGTCTCTCTGTTCACTCTCGGAACTACAAGAATGGAGTCTCTCTTCTCCACGATGATTGCCCTGCTCTTGGTTTTTTTTTCCTGTCTCATTTCTACAGGTAAATTTCTGAATGTGAAGAAGAAGAAGAAGAAGAAGATCTTTCTTCTACACATTCACCTGCATTTGTCTCTTTTAAAACTGAAAGTCTTTTATGTTTTTTTTGATCTGCACAAGCTCTCACCAGCAACAATGGAAACATCACAATCAAATGGGATCTCATCAACTGGACGCCTGATGGCTACGTTGTAAGTTTTCTTTTTCTTCGTGTCTCACAAAATCTCAGCGTCTGCTTTAACTTCAAGATTAACTCCATCTCAGGCAGTGGTTACAGCCTACAATTACCAGAAGCAACGTTCGGTTCCAGGATGGAAAATGAGCTGGAGATGGACCAAGAAAGAAGTGATCTGGAATATGTTTGGTGCAAAAACAACAGAGCAAGGAGATTGCTCCATGTTCAAAGGAAATACCCCGCATTCCTGCATTCGTAAGCCAACAGTTGTCGATTTGCTTCCCGGAACTCCTTTCAATCAGCAGATCGCTAATTGCTGCAAAAGCGGCGTCTTAAAACCTGGTTTAGAAAGTGCATTCCAGATATCCGTTGGGAAAGCAGGTAGCTCGGTTAAGACTGCTCGGATGCCGGCGAACTTCATGTTCACGGCACCTAAACAACAGTACATCTGTGGACCTAGTAAGAACGTTAGACCAACAAGGTTTATAACCGCCGACAAAAGGAGAATAACTGCAGCCCTGAGTAAGTTTCACAACAGAAACAAACCTCGACAAACCTGTAATTCTGATTTTGAAGCTCACCTGCTTTGTTTTTGTTCTTTTGCAGTGACCTGGAACATTACTTGCGTCTTCCACAAACCAATATGAACAACGCAACTCTGCAGAGAAATATTCTCACAAGCAAATCTATCTTCAGAGAGTTTGCATAGTACTGTTTTCCATGTATGGTTTTTGTTTTAAGAGAATAAAAATACTACTTTGATTGATTTGAGTTTCCAGAGTTTTTGTATTATCATGTATGGTTTATGTTTTAAGAAAATAAAAACACTACATCGATTGATTGGTTTTCTTCTAAACGGATTCCTTCCACAACCGGACTGATCTGTCTGTTCCACAAGTAACAAAGACTGATTCATCTGGCGAGTGCTCAATCCACCGTGGTGCACCGTTATGGTTAGAAGGCCACTTTGCCACTTTATCTCCGGTTCTAGCATCCCATGTAACGACCTCATTGCTTGCTTCATCTATGGAGATTACAAACTCTTCAGTGTCGTTAAAGATTGCCTGCATAACCCAACAGTGAAGGCCATTTAGAATCAGTCGACGGAGTGAATATTTTCGTCTCAAAAGGTTGAGAAAACGAGTCACCTGAGACCGCAGTTTTATCCGCTTTGCTCCAAGATATTCCTTAACCATTCGACCTGAGCCTATTTCCCATAACTTAACTGTAGAATCCTTACCGGATGAGAGAACAAACCTAACAAAAGCCATATGATCAATCAATTGTTTTGCCATGAGCAAAAAACTAGAGATTCTCAGAGAAAATGGATTGAATCTTCTTTCTACCTTTGATCCTTAGTGAACACTGCGCTTGTGACCTCTGATTTTCCATGTGCATTGCTAATGGAGCGAACACACTTTGCGCTAACCCCGTCAAAGAGTCGAATAGCTCCATCCTTTGAGGCTGTAATGTAGATGGATCCCGTGGAAGAATATCGCACCTTAAGAAACCAAGAATCTCACAGCCATGAATCCTTGATCATTATAAGATATGCTTATAGAAAGCACAATTAACATTTATCAGATAACGAGTGACGTACCTGATTAATGGCTCCACTTACTCCACTGTCTGGGAAGTTTGAAGGAAGAAAGCACTGATATGTGTTTACATCGTACAGATGTGGAATTGGATGATCGGTTCCTGCAAAGGCGAAGTTTTCAATTTTGCAATATACTGAAAAGATTATCATCTGGATCATAGTTTGAATTCAAAGAGAAGAAGGTCTCTACAATAGAAAATCACCTGCAAGAAGAAACTCTCCTGACGGATGAAAAGATACAGAGCGCACATTATGGGCATCCTGCAGAATTTGGAGTTAAGGATTTGATGAGATGCTGTGTTTTTCACCATGTAGCTAAGCAGAAACTGATATAACAACCATGATCTCTACCTGAAAAACTTTGAATGCTCGTTTAGCCGTGGTTTTGGAGAAGTCGAAAAACCTATCCAAGTCACAAGAAATGACACAAAAAAGAGTTAAACACAAACTTTTCTTGTAATCACCAAGAGAATTCATTTAGGTAGAGAAAACGTAAATAGATACTTTATACAGTTGTCTTTGGCACTAGATATTAGGATTGTGCTTCGAGGGTGGAAATCAAGATCGTTTATGGGCTGCAAATGATTGTCACAAATTTAAGAGATATAA